GCTGGCTGACCCGTGCCAGCGCGGGTCGGATCTAGCCGACCCGCACCCCTACGGGTCAGCACAACCTGTTTCACGCCCAGAAGTTCCAAATACGCATTTTCGACGGTTCTTTGCTGTTTTCTCGAGATTTGTTCGTTCCAGAGCATCTCAACTGTTTGGATATCATTCATAAACGTGTGTAGGTTGTTATTAACTGAAGATAAATCCAAATCCTGCGTTCTCATCCAAATTAATCGATTTTGAGGCCTATAAATATGAAATGATAGCCTCCTTTCAGAGGGGGCTAATTATTATCAAGACGAGGAGGTGCTGCCGAGTTTGAGAGCAAGGGAGCACGAATTTTAGAGGAGGCTAACTGATCTTAGCGAAGTTCTTCTGCATAAAGAGGGAGAGTTCGAGAGATCTGAAGTCTCGTCCGTTCCTTGAGATAAGGCTTGGTCTTAATCTCGAGAAGAGCTACTGATCTCGCTTGGTCGATTTCTGTGCTTCAAGCGAATACTTCCTTGGTGAAGTAGGAGTTCTGTTAATTTTCTGACAACCGGATCTGATCCACGACGGTCTACGGATATCAATGTCCCTGGCACAGGCAAAGATCCCACGCAAACAACAGGCGATAAACATCTGTTGCGTGTTGTTTGAGAAAGTTGTTATTTTTATTTTCATTGTGTAAGGAGATCTTATAAAAAGATCAACTTTTTATTCAAGTTTATGGTAACGATTAAAGTTGTAATAGATTCAAGACAATGAAATCAACTTTTGAACCAAACAATTAGTGGCCAATTACTAGACACTAAACATACGGGACTAATAGTCACGTACATTTCGAAGAACTAATTTTTCAAAACCAACCTCGTTTTGGCCTGTTGGCCAAAAAGAGGTCGGTTTTGAAAAATAATTAACGAAACGGTCGGTTTTGCTAAATATTTAGCAAAAATGGTCTTTTTTTAAAAAAACTCCTTGATAAAATGTTTGACTTGTTGTATTTGAGGCATAATAATAATAATAATAATAATAATAATAATAATAATAATAATAATAATAATAATAAAGTTCTATATGTACCAGCGATCCCTCCGTAATTTATGATCCCCATAATCTTACTTTCATCTTTGTGAAACCCATAAAAAGTTTCATCATTTTATGAATTTGGACATAGGATTCATGTGTTCTTTTTATTGGTTCTGATCCTTAAATTTTAACTATCACACCTCATGACCCAAAAGTGTGTCGCCAAGCCCGCGACATATCCACTAGTGCTTTATCGACACTACAAAATACTAATAGGTACACTTCCACCTCTATCAATTCGAAACTAGACTATGATTGACGGAAGGGTTAACAAACTATCTACAGGATTTTAGACTATTATTATATGTGGATCTAGATTAGTTTATTGTCCTTCCTATTCCTCTTTTATGCTTAATTTTTTGTTTAGAAAAAAACCATGCTTGTAGTGAACGAAGAGGTTTTAATTATTTGTGGACATCAATTATCGATTGTGTACAAATAAGTCAATGCATACTATATTGGGTTAGAAGTTCTTGAAACTAAAGAACGAGCCTCAGCTCAAATTAAGCCAGTTTCTGCCATCGAGATGTCATAACCACCTACCTCAAACCTATGTTTTAGAGAAATGCCCTCTCTTAGAATACTATCAAGCATTAGGTCAAGTGAACACTACATTCCAGCGTCCTAAGAATAATCCATATTCTCCAACCTATAATCTGGGTTGGAAAAATCATCCAAATTTTAAAAATCATTTCTTAAAAATTTATTTAGAGTTATCATAAAATAGTAACTTGAATATAAAACTAACTAAGAATTAGAAAGTTTAAAACATTCATCAAGTAAATAATTATTAATTAATTTTATCAAGTTTTCAAGTGGCATAATTTTTTTATTTTGTAAGGGAAAGAAAAGAAATGATAAACTAAAGGATAAAATAAAGAGAAAAGATAACGAATCTTCACCCCATACCTAAATTTTTCATTATCCTTAATGCAAACTATGTGATTCAAAAAGTAAACTAGATAGAAAATGAAACACTTATATATTTGTTCAACCTTGAATGATGATAAAATGACAAATTTTGGAATTACCTTGATTTCTGATGGGTATGAGAAGGATGTAGCCAAAAAATTTCCATCTATCTTTTTTCTTTTTTTTAATGAAAGAAACTCTCCAAACAAGAGAAAATCAAATTCTTTTTTATTCTTATTATTATGAGACATAGAGTAAAGACGTAGAATAAAGGATTGAAAATGAAAAGCTCACATTCTATATCAGTTCCTACCTTATTGCTAAAACTTCTATCTTGAATTTTAAATAAGTCTTAGATGAAAAACTCTATGATGTGCTTAGATTCTGATTTTTGATAATTTCTGTAACATTTGATGGCAAGTTAGTAGAGGGTCATGTATCTTGATTTTTCGATGCCTATCAATTAGAAAGCTAGTCTCAGATTTGAACTTAGGTTCCACATGAATGAAGGTTTGTCATAATAAAATCAGCACTTATTTAAGAATTTTCTCAGACCCAAGGTTCATGGTTGAAGCATTATAGGCCTATAGATACCCCCTCCAAATGAATGAAAGTTCTTCGAAGTTTATTTCAAAATTAGGTCAAGTGAACACTACATCCCAGCGTCCTAAGAATGATCCATATTCTCCAACCTACAATCTAGGTTGGAAAAATCATCCAAATTATAAAAATCATTTCTTAAAAATTTATTTAGAGTTATCATAAAATAGTAACTTGAATATAAAACTAACTATGTATTAGAAAGTTTAAAAACTCATCAAGTAAATCATTATTAATTAACTTTATCAAGTTTGCAGGTGGCATATATTTTTTTTATTTTTTAAGGGAAAGAAAAGAATGATAAATGAAAGTATAAAATAAAGAGAAAAGATAACGAATTTTCACCCCCATACCTAAATTTTAGATTATCCTTAATGCAAACTATATGATTCAAAAAGTAAAGTAGATAGAAAATGAAATACTTACCTTTGTTCAATCTTGAATGATTATAAAATGACAATTTTTGGAATTACCTTGAATTATGATGGGTATGAGAAGGATGAAGCCAAAAAAAATTCGTCTCTTTTCCCTTTTTTTTCTTCTTTTTTAACGAAAGAAACTCTCCAAACAAGAGAAAATCAAATTCTTTTTTATTCTTATTATTATGAGACACAGAGTAAAGATGTAGAATAAAGGATTGAAAATGAAAAGCCCGCATTCTATATCAGTTCCTACCTTATTGCTAAAAATCCAACCTTGAATTTTAAAGAAGTCTTAGATAAAAAACTTTATGATGTGCTTAGATTCTGATTTTTAATAAATTCCGTTGCATTTGATGGCAGGTTAGTAGAGGGTCATGCATCTTGATTTTTCGATGCCTATCAATTAGAAATCTAGCCTTAGATTTGAAGTTAGGTTCCAAATGAATGAAAGTTTGTCCTAATAAAACCAGCTCTTCTTAAAGAATTTTCTCAGACCCAAGGTTCATGGTTGAAGCATCATAGGCCAATTGTTTCATATCTTCTTGGATCCTAAATTTCATTAGCAAATAGTTCTTCGAAGTTGTGATCAATAAAACTTGTGTCTAACCCAGTACTTTTATTCTTAAAGACTTATTTTGATTCTAACTCTCTTAAAAACTTGATTTCTTCATCAAATATCTTCTCTCAAAACTCAATCAAGCTCACGCTCTTCTGCTACCTATTTGGTAGGTATTTTCTGAATTAAGTTCACTTCTAAGGGTTGGTCAGATGGACCACTCGCTATTTTCTTAGATTAAAGATGTTAAGATATACAGTCATGTTGCAAAATAACTTTATTTGACTGATTCCGTAGTAGATCAAAGCATTTGAAGTGGCTAATAACAGCCTTCCTAAAATAATAGGTACATGACCCTCGGGATTGGAAGCAGGCTATATCTCCAAGACTATAAAATTAACGGAAAACATAATTAGTTCTGACAAATTTTTGCCAAAAAATCAAAGGCGATGTAGCTTCAAAGCCGAACTGAATAATGTTTTATAAATAGAACACGCCAAGAGGAAAAAAAGAGCACCCTGACAAAACCAAACATAAAACAGAATTTCCTCTTACGCAATTTAACAGGAGTCAAAAATTAAGGAGAAACGAAGGGTACCGATTGCGTCTTCACTCAAGAGGTTCTTAAAGAGCAAGGGAATAATGCTATCCTACTCGTTACATGAACCACACAGACACGACACGCACAAGATAAGTTCTGACATACACAATATGTTCCGTTTTACTCAGCATTTTCCGATCATGCCCTTGGCAATGCAAGTTCCAACATTTTTTTCTCCATTGAATCGACTACTGGCTTTAGATCTTTCACAAAAGCTTCTTCCCTGCAACATCAAAAAGAATAAGATTAATACAGAAAGCAAATGAATGAAAAGGGCACCCCTGAGAGTGAGACATTGTATTGTGCCTATGTTAGCGATTGGACAGAAACGTATAATCAAAGAACTAAAGTTATGACCCAGTGTAGTAACGGTTATAAGCAATAAGCAGCAATTCCAAAAATGCAAACTAAGAAAATTTAACAGCGAGTAGATGTACAGGCCGTCGTATGCCGAAGAACTCGTTTAGGGCAATTCAAGATATTTGAAGCAAGCCACGATTATATTGAAAACTGAGTTCACATGTTTATGTGAATTCTGGCGCATAAATATTACCCAAAGGATGAAAAAAGTCTAGTGGGGTGTTGACTGAAGCATTCAGTAGTTGAATAGCAGAAAAAGAGCCATCAACGTTTAGGCCTCCCAAAAAGAGGGACACTTCCCGAATACTTTGACTGATAAGTACTATGGTAATATCACTATTTCCTTTACAATCTTGGTGCCCTACTTCAAGTACCAATACTACGTCGTATCAGATAAATGCACGAGGCCATTTATTTGAAGGTCTTATCCCATGTCTAATTGTGTGCATAGCTATGACCATACTTTCACACACATTCACAAAGTCTAATTTTTAAAAGGGTCTTATATATATAGGATGCTCCAAAACACTCAGGAGACCACCTGTCTCCAAACAATACAACTTCTACTCATAAAAAATGTGTTTAGCTTCCCATGTTTTCTCAGCACTCTTAACATTAAAACCTCTAATTTTGTAAGTTAGAATGTCTGGTGTTTAAAACTTTCGGGTGAAAATGTTACAATAAATATTTTATTGCTCTTTGGACAACACATGTTTTACTGGTCTTTGTTTCAGAATGCCAATCAAACACATAAATGATGTACCCCATAATAATAATAAAAAAGAGGAATTTGGTAAAACTAATTGAAGAGACCAAGGTAGCACACCTGTCAACCTCACTTATGTGGTAATAGAACCAGTTATGAATAGTACGGGCGGTAAGCACATCATTTGTGTATAGGATATCAACAACCTCCTCGAACGACCCTTGCAGTCGTTGCTCCTTGATAGATCGTCTATGGACTTGCTTAAGCAGCTCAAGTTCACACTCTTCAGTTATGCAAAATACACTCAAAAGTTGGGACCACGATAACACCTGCGAGTGAAAAAATAAAGATTCACAAAATAATGCTGAAGGAATAGACAAATGCAAAACCTGATGGTGATTATTATTTATTAAATAATGCTCTTATTCAATTAATTCCATCCAGTCGTGAACATTCATTGCAGCTTATAGGCAAAAGAAAAACAATGTCTACAACCCAAGGAAAATTTATTTTATTTTATTTTTTTCAAATTTTTGGAGGGCGTGGAGGGGGTTGTTTAGGTAGACAACACATAAGAAAACTCAAATATGACTTCAGGCCCAAAAAGTATTGCTATAGTCTGAGGCATCCCTATTGCCCAAATTTTGTAAAATAGAAAATTCTAAATAGATTGAGATACGGGTGAAATATCTGGAAATGAAAAGCTCCGAAACATCGGTGTTCAGTATATAAACAAAAAACCAAACAATTTGCTGAACAATGCACAGTTCACAACCAGAGTCCCAACTGCCAGAAGAAGCCTACCAGCACAGGCTGAAAATTTTGGAGCTTTGGAGCATTGACGCCCTCTCTAGACCATAATAAGATAGAGGTACCTCAAACAAAATGCAAGTGGACTTGTGATATTTACTGCCTTCTTCCAGTCTAGGTATATTTTGAGGGATCTCAGTTTCTTGAGTTTACAGCGCATGCAGAAGGTGGAACTAACGAAGAAAAATGGAAAAGCTGTAGGTGAAAATGCTAGCGTTCCAAAGGATATTTTCACCTTATTTATGCACAGCTATCAAGAGCATCGGTACACTATATAAATTTTTATTTTACAAGAATCAACAATCTATTTAGGTTTACGAAGAAACGGAGAGTACATATGAAGAGAAAATACCCTTTGCCATACAAGCCACTCAATTAATACCGGATCCTCTCTGCCGTCAATATAGAGAATTGTATCCATTAGTGCATCCCATAGGATGGGCACTACTTCAGTATCAGCAATTTTATTTTTTTCAATACCTTCAGCGACGGTTTTTATGACATCATGTATATCAATTTCCATAAAAACTTGATCGGTTAATGTTGACTTCATCTCCTCCAAGGCCTTGAACATGTCCTTTTCAGTCTGAGCTATCAGACTCTCTTTGCTGAAAATTCACCATAGAAAGAAGTTCAGAGAAAAATGTCAGCAGAAACTACACAGAAATCACACACAGATAGTAACTCAAATCGCTCTTCCAAAATCATCTATAATAGTACCCTGCCTTCAATACTCTTCCAATCTCATCCAATTGAGACCCTAAAGTTTGTTTTTCATAATCCAACACATTCCACGACAAGTCTATATTTGGCACCCAATTCTGAAACCAATCCAGCATGCAAATTACAACTGCTAACATTATGCAAACGGTCGGTTGGTTTCATTAGTTCTGATAAAATTTTGCCAAACCAAACAAAGGCGATGTAGCTTCAAAGCCGAATAAAATTAGTTCACTACTGCTCAATTCCATCTATGCGCTTTGGACTTGGACCATTAAGTTAAGAACATAAGCTATGTTGACCCAAACGAAAGAAGCAAACCAAGAGAACGAAAAAGAAAACACGTGGAATAAGGGATCAATGCAAGAAAATTGCATAGAAAGAAGCAAACCAAGAGAACGAAAAAGAAAACACGTGGAATAAGGGATCAATGCAAGAAAATTGCATATAAATTAAAATTGTAGAAAAAAATAAAAGAAAACACGTGGAATAAGGGATCAATGCAAGAAAATTGCATATAAATTAAAATTGTAGAAAAAAATACACTGAGGAAATGGTAGAAGGCGAGTTAGAAAGAAATGAAGAGCGGGTATAAAAAGAACCAAGAAATAGCGGTTAGTTTGGTAAGTTCATATCAAAATTTGTCAAATCGAAGCAAACCCAGTAAGTTCTAAAATTGACCTGAAACATCGAGAAGTATAACACGTGCTCAGCTAAGAAAAATGAAGACGAAAAGACAACTGTCCAATTCTCATCATTTTGTAATCCTTGCATCCTACATGTCCATTCAAGGAATTGAACAGTAAAACAACAAGTGATAAATAATTAACTCTAACGGTTTGCAGCTCTATATGTGTCCTAAGTCTTATGACTAGACAAAGTACAAGGAATTGGTGCCAAAAACAACCTTAACAGTTGGATAACTATCCTAATCCTTGTATTACTCTCACCCAAACACAACCTTAACTTATGGTTTTCGTATGGAATCAGATGCATTCCTGCTAATGATAATGATTGCATCTAATATCTAGGAAAAATTAGTTAGATCTTTAAGCAAGAATCTGAGTTAGGCTAACTTAATTACAAATATAGTCTGCTGACAGGTCTTGATATTGTATGAAGTCATGCCCATATATCTCTACCTAATAACCCATTTGATAGTTTTCTGAAAAATTTCTCGCTACAAATCATAGAGGCATAGTCCACTGTGCACCGATGCACTGCCACAGTAGACTTCATGGAGAAGGACCGGATACCCTATCTTGCAACCATCAACGATGAGAATATGTACAACCACGCAAATTGGGGAGACCCTTTTAGGGCAAGATAATGTTGAGCTGAGCCCAATGGTATAATGACAGCGGAAGACTTTAGTTTCTTTGGAAGTAAGATGCAAAGTGCTTTTCTCCATTGGTGTCAGAAATGAATCTCATAGGGATGTTTACCCTTTGCATTCTCCTTACTTCTCTCTGGATGGGGAGGTGCTCCCTATTGGAGCGGCATTTCATGCTTCAGTTGCGATTTCTTATTTAGATCGTGCTTCTTCAGAGGTGTAAATGTTAAAAAAATAAAAATAGTTTGGATATTGGTTTGGCCACTGTAAAACTCTTTTGGATTATAGTTGTTATAGATCTATAACAAGCATTTGTTTTGGTACGTGTCGCGGGTCTCTTTTAAGAGTTCCTCTTCTGTTTGGAGTTGATGATGCTCTGCAATTTAGTGGTCCTGCAGCCTGTTGTTTTGGTTGGACCATGTTGGTTATGCTGATAAGTTTTAAACCATATGATTATTTATGAGTATCAAATAGGCAGGGAATGCATGCGCTTTCTGCTGATGGAAGGTGAAGTATGAAATAAGTAGGGAAGGCGCATGTTTTCTACTGAATTGGAGGTGAAGGAAAAGATACAGATCCCATCTCTTGTGTCCCAAAATCAGAACATTTTTCATGCAGGAAGCATTCTGAGCCTTTCAATTTGTAGAATTAAGATTCTACCATTACGAGAAAAAAATAGATGGACAATTGAGATTTTAAGCACTTTTCAGATGGATGAGCACCAGAATCTTTTTGCACGTTAAGTGTTAAGGTAGGATTTGGATACAAATTACATAGTAGAGTTTCTACACGCGCGCACACGAGGAATCGATATTCCAGTATATAATTGTTTATCTCGTTGTTATTAGATTTCAACCGCTAGCAGACTAATATGTAATGTCATTAATAGTTTACCAGTTGAAAGAACAGTTTTTTCATTCATTTGAAAAATTCTCGCAAAATTGAAATTCATTTCCTTAACAATCACATATTAGCATTAAATGCATGATATATGTGATTTGATCAACTGTCACATTTACAATAGGGGCTTGTTTGGTTGGTCTCTTTTTAGCTCGATTGTCACCCTAGATGTCAGGCTACGGTAACTTTCAAGCATAATGTTGTTTGTTTGATTAAATTGGAGGGTAACGTGGCATTAAAAAATCCCACTTGTTTCCTAGATACGACGACTTTCAATGATTTGAAAAAAAAAAGTCAAACAGCCCCTAAACTTACGTACACAACCTCTTGTTTAGCTATAGTCACACGTGTGAGTCTCAGACTATGACAACGTCAAAAATACTGTTACATAAATTTGAGAGTATGATACTGACAAAAATACGCCTAATACAGTAAATGAAGTGATGTCTTTTAAACAGCTCTATATTTAAACCTCTCTAAATAAAAAATACGCCTAATACAGTAAATGAAGTGATGTCTTTTAAACAGCTCTATATTTAAACCTCTCTAAATAGTTGGATGCTACCTGAACAGTATTTTCTAAAAAAATATTACTTGTATAAATTGCAAATAACATGTTACCAAAAAAACATTGCAAATAACATGGAATACCAATTTTAAGGAATACACTGCAGATGGCAACATCACTTTATCTGTCAATCATTAACGTAAAAGAAGAAACGAATTCATAAGGAATTGTTTGCAGCGTCTGAAAGTTTACGATCTTCATTCAGAATTATAACAATGAAAAGAACAAGGTAGCATTAATTGGAATTGGTTAGGAAATATATATAGGAACAAAGATAAGATGAAAAATATTACTAGAACCATATGACACATGCTCATGCATTCTTTTACATGATCGAAAACTGTAATTGTAAGGTAGAAAATAGAAAAAAAAATAGTTATAAAACTACTAAAAGGGCACAAACAAAGTGACACATAGCTTGCTTAAATGCATTATTATTTTCTCAGAAAATGTAAAACGAATCAATCAAAATTATTGGCTTAATTCAATTAGCGGTCATCCCAGGGAAATAATAACTAGTGATCTTATTAAGGTGACTACTAATAACCGCTTCTGTAGGTCATTTTCATAGTGGAGAAAAGTTCGATAAATATAACAAAGTAGGTAGTTTTATCCAAAAATGATGCACATAAAATCTACTTCACATGATGTCTTGTCAACTATTTATCCAAAATATGAAGCAACGAAGTACGAAGATGAAGGAATTTTCTTTATCGCTAATTACTACAAAGCAAAAAATTTTGAAGCCTCATTGACACAGAGAACTGCCATGACAACCATTATGTCACATAAAATCAAGAATCTGAAAGAAACCTATTATCATCCAAATAAATGGAGAAATAAAATGACCACGAAGTCATGTTTAACAAAACTATTCGTGTAGCAGCTGATGAATTCTTAAATTATAGTACTAAGCAAAATTAATTTCAAAAAACAGCTATGATCATAATCCATCATGAATATTACTAGAATCATATGTATGATAGAGACTCATAATTGCTCTCTCTATCAAAATGTTATAATCTACTCAACAGGAAATTTTGTCCTGACAAGCATCTATCCGAAATACGAAACAACGGTTAATTTCTCCATGGCAAGATTTTGAACGCTCGTTAACAGAGGGATTTTCCATGGCTACCGGTATCGCACATAAATCAAGAACTTGACAGAAATTAAGCTATCATCATCCGAAGAAAATTGGGGGAACAAATCGACCACGAAGCACTGTTTGGAAAATACTACTTAGGTAGCATTCAAATTCTTAAATTGCACCAATCAAGACTTAAATTTAAATGATACAGGCCCGTAACTGCAAAATTACAACTTCAATATATCAGTATTGATCATGTGGGGGCGAAAAAAAGAGTGTAAAAGTCGAGCAACACAAAGTAAACACTTCTATACATCTGATGACCCCATTCATTCAGATAGATGGTTTCAAGGTAGACTGGATGCATAACAAAGACAAATCGCCAAATTTTTTTTAAAGGATCGAAAAGGAAAAGAAAATCTGATTAATTATGACGAATTTATACCTCACAGAGGAGCCCGGCGTGGATCAGAATCATAAATAAAACCTAAAACCCCTAGACCTATTTCTATCCGGCGAGAGAAACCATGAGATCGGCAGATCTTTGATAAGGTCAAAAGAAAATTGATCAGCTATGATGAATTAACACCTCACAGATGAGACCGACGTGGATCGGAATCGGCAAATAGAAAATAAAACCCATAGATCTTTTTCCTAAAGAAATCTAGAAACGGCCAGATCTCTCGTATCGGATCGAAAAGGAAAAAAAAATTGATTGAATTTATACCTCATGGGTTCAAGCGGCGAGATGACAGAGTGCGATGCCATTCTTTCGTTTCAAAATGTAGAGAGGACCAAGAAGAAATTTATAGAAAGCCCGAATCCTCTCCATGCAAGGGCAAAAAAGATGGGAGGGCATAATTACCGAATTGCCATACCCCCATCCTGACGATGAGGAGGGCTGGGCAAATAACTGACCCTGAAGGGGTTATTGGTTGGGATATTTTGGGGGATAATGGGATAATTTTGGGGATTCTATTTCATAGTGTTATTCATTGGGACAATGGAACAAGGATAATACTTTTTTGTGTTATTGGTTTTTTGGAACACTAGTGAGACAATTACACCACTTGGGATAAAATTACCCCAGTCATATACAAAAATTTTATCCCAATAGTAAAAATTTACCCCATCCTCCATACTGGAACAATGTTGTTCCACTTTGAAGGCAATTGAGATAATTTTAAAATATTTTTGTATTACTTAACTAACAATGTTGTTCCACTTTGAAGGCAATTGAGATAATTTTAAAATATTTTTGTATTACTTAACTAATACATACAATTATTATATTATAAATATATGACATGATATATAAAATATAACATATATTAATATTTTAATAATATAATTTAATAACATATATTAATAATATTATATAATATTGTAATAACATATATTAATAATATTATGTAATATATTATTATATAATTTTAATTAGTAATTATAGTATAACGTATTTATTATAATATTATATAATATTTTAGTAACATATATTAATATTTTAATAACATAATTTAATAACATATATTAATAATATTATATAATAACAATTATAGTATAACATATTTATTATAATATTATATAATATTAATTAGTAATTATAGTATAACGTATTTATTATAATATTATATAATATTTTAATAACATATATT